AAAAGTTACTTGCGTTACTTATTTGAAAAAGTAACTCAGATATTCTCTTGTAAATGTAAAAAGTAATGCGTTACTTTACTAGTTACTTGAAAAAAGTAATCTGATTACGTAACTCGCGTTACTTGTAATGCGTTACCCCCAACACTGTTACTGACACTACAAATAACAAAAATGCAGCCTTGCTGAATAAGTATTATTAATAAGCAAGAATTAGGAGTTAGAGGCAAAAATTGTAGGTAATAGTGAGAATTGGACCTAAACTAAAGTGTGACCCATTAGATAATATTACACAGAAAATAGCTAGATCTTCCAAGCTGTCAGCATATTGTTTGTCCTCTGATTTCATCTACAATAAGCAGATTTTGAATAAGTGTGAGATATTCACCTCTACAGGGGTCATTCTTCACTAGAAACTCATCTAACGCCGTCCATCCACCACCAACTCGAACCATCAGAGTGCTTCTGAGAATACGAACCATCCGCAACTGCTGAGAGTCTCCAAACTGGTGAAAATCACAGAAATATCATCAGGCGTGTAGTCATGAATATATAGCTGTGCTGCCCCGTTTGTATTAACATCTGATTTGAGCATTCAAAGGCTGCGTATACACTCGTTGGTTCTGGTTTTAGTCCATCTAGTCCTGGGCTGCGTTTCTCAAAAGCATTGTGAGATAAGTTGATCTTAAGGACCATTGGTGGCAGTAGATCTTACAGTGTACTTAAGCTTACAACGCTTTTGGGAAACATAGCCCTGGTTTGTTTAGCATTCAGAAGAACCAGATATGCTTGTACATTCTGTCCTTTTTACGGTCAAATCTTGTGACAGCATTTTGGTTCTTTTAGATGTCTTGGGTCCGTGTTGCATTCATATATCAGTCGAACCGCGCTAGAATTGTGATCTGATCTCTCAAGATCCGGTGTTAATATCAGGTATAAACAAGCATTATTTGTACCGAGAATAGATTTTCACTCACCCTGTAGCGATTTGCGCTTATTTGCTCTACTTGAAATCTCTTTGGACAGTTGCATTGAGAGACCTGACGGCTCACCTGCAGAATTGAGGTTTCTGTTAGTCGTCTTACAGAAATACTCAATGCAGGGAAGAATGTAAAAACAGAGCTACACACACCTCCTCATTGATTTGGTCTGCATCTATCGTCTTTCTGTAAGGGTCTCGGCTTGGATGGAGGGCACTCACAAATTCATAGTAGTCAATGAATCCATCACCGTTAACATCAAATATGTTAGCAACCGCAGTCATTTCCAGGGAGTTGGTGGGAAATTCTGTACAAAGTCAAATATTGCAAACAGTTACATATATACCCATACGACAAGGCTATATGAAATATTGACATATGTATATTCTCTGGGTAGATGAAGATATGCTTATAACAAATATTAAATCATGTACATATATTAATAATATCTATATGAGGATATTTATATAGTATTATCTGATGCAACGATCTATGTCAGCAATATATGTATGCATACATATATATATATATGCAACTTTATTAAAACAACATATATACTAAAAATCAGTATATTGATATGTTTTGCAATATATATATATATATATATATATATGAAGAGTTTATTTGCAAAAACAGACAACTCGTTTTTTTTATTTTCAAAAATCATGTTTTTTATGATGTTATGTTTTTATTGTGTTTTATTGTGTTAGTTAGCTGTATTTTTTAGTTATTTTTTAACCTAATCAAAATATATATATATATATATATATATATACTGTATATATACACACACACACACATACATATATGTAAATACATGTCTATTTTTTATATTTACTCATAATATCAAATTGTATTGACTGGTTTTAGGATGGACATAAAAAAAATCGTAAAATGTATTACATCTATTGTTCCAATTTCTAATACTTTTCATATATGTTTTAAATTCATATGACAATTTCATACATGGAAATGTAATACATGTACACATATTTTTGCATATGGGTATTCATCCAAACAACATGATGCAAAAAAATCAGCAACCAAGAGTTTTAATGCTCACTAGAGGCCAGAACGCTGCTGATGAACTCCTTGTGAGTGATTCGTCCATCCTGATCGCGATCAATGCTACGAAAAACATCCAGTATCCGGGATTTGAGGTGACTTATCCACTGCATGTATCTTTTCCGCCAGATGTTGAAGTCAAAATTAGCGAACTCCTCCAGCTGCATGTGTTAAAGAGACGGTTCTTAGACAACCACATGGATTCAAACACAAATGTAGGCTATTCTTTTATCAAAGCTAGAGCGCAGTCATGATCACCTCTTTCAGCCTCTGCAGATGTTCCTCTAGTCTGCTCTGTCTGCCGTGGGCCAGGAGCCAGAGTTTCCTCCACTGACTCACCAGCTGACTCATCACGGGTGTCTGAGGGTCCAGTTTCTCCAGTGGAAGAGGAACAGACAGCGGGGGCTTCGCTGTGCCTCTCCTCTCTATGCATGAATACAATCCAAAGACATTACATGCACACAATAATCACAGCAGCGGATCACACTGATTCTTTACTCACTTGCTGGTGCTTTGCGACCGGGGGAAACCTGCTGCTTGGGAGCCAGCTTGTGTTTACAGGATTTTGTGGCGTTTTCAATTTCTGGTACCTTCCCTTTCATCTCATCCATGAAATCCTGCAGGAAATGTAATACATGTACACATATTTTTGCATATGGGTATTCATCCAAACAACATGATGCAAAAAAATCAGCAACCAAGAGTTTTAATGCTCACTAGAGGCCAGAACGCTGCTGATGAACTCCTTGTGAGTGATTCGTCCATCCTGATCGCGATCAATGCTACGAAAAACATCCAGTATCCGGGATTTGAGGTGACTTATCCACTGCATGTATCTTTTCCGCCAGATGTTGAAGTCAAAATTAGCGAACTCCTCCAGCTGCATGTGTTAAAGAGACGGTTCTTAGACAACCACATGGATTCAAACACAAATGTAGGCTATTCTTTTATCAAAGCTAGAGCGCAGTCATGATCACCTCTTTCAGCCTCTGCAGATGTTCCTCTAGTCTGCTCTGTCTGCCGTGGGCCAGGAGCCAGAGTTTCCTCCACTGACTCACCAGCTGACTCATCACGGGTGTCTGAGGGTCCAGTTTCTCCAGTGGAAGAGGAACAGACAGCGGGGGCTTCGCTGTGCCTCTCCTCTCTATGCATGAATACAATCCACAGAGATTACAGCCGAATACATGCACACAATAATCACAGCAGCGGATCACACCGATTCTTTACTCACTTGCTGGTGCTTTGCGACTGGGGGAAACCTGCTGCTTGGGAACCAGCTTGTGTTTACAGGATTTTGTGGCATTTTCAATTTCTGGTACCTTCCCTTTCATCTCATCCATGAAATCCTGCAAAAGGAAACAGTAACATTTCTTGACCTTGAACCTTCATCATGGTTTTGGTTTTTTAGAGGCGGATCTGCTCTGATTTTTAAATTGTGGGTTTGTGCGTGTTTTCATATTTTCCATTTTCATTTTAATATGTCTATATAGTTTTTATTCATATTTATTTCAGTTTTAGGTTTAGTTATTTTATCAAGTTAAGCTAAATGAAAACGAGAAATGAGTCTTAGGCAACTAGCTGAAATTAAATTAAGTTACTTTTTATTTTATTTTAGTTAACATTTGTTTTATTTCATGTAACAGAACTGCAAAACTGTTTTTTATGGTTTTTGTGAACTAATAACTGAGATGTACATATGCATCTGATGGATTTATTTTTTTACATTTTGAAATATTGTGGATCAATATTACTTCACTGATTTTTGTTTGAGACACAGAACAAAACAGGAAACAGAATTAAAAAAAATAAAACTTGACAGGACCTTCAGGATGAAAACCGATGTTGATTTGCCTGATTTTATAAAGGTTTTTGAAGTAGATACACAGGTGTCAAACCTTATAAAAACTGTATTTTTTAAATGAACCTCTTCCTTCTGTCAGGATAAAGTAGTGATCGTTGTAAATACTTACACTTTATTTATATTTTTGCTTTTCTTAAAGGGACAGTTCACTCCAAAATGAAAATTCTGTCATTAGTAGTGCTGTCAAACAATTAATCGTGATTAATCACATCCAAAATAAAAGTTTTTGTTTACATAATATATGAGTGTGTGCTGTGTATATTTATTATGTATATATAAATACACACACATGCATGTATATATTTAAGAAAAATATGTTATGTTTATATATTAACTAGATTGTGTGTATTTATATATAAATAATAAATATACACAGCACACACTCATATATTATGTAAACAAAAACTTTTATTTTGGATGTGATTAATCACGATTAATCGTTTGACAGCACTAGTTACTCAGTCGTTCCAAAATTGCATGACTTTTTTCTCAGCAGAAGTGAGTAAATGAGGACAGAATTGTTTAATGTGAATAGATTGTTATTGGCTGTTAGTACCGTGTGCTGAGTGATGAGATCTGCAGAGAGCTCTAGGTCTTCAGGCAGCGGCTCCTGCTCCTTCAGATTGAGAGACTCTTCAGCGGAGGAGATCCAGGCCAGTAATCTCTGGATCTCCTCTCTCTCTGCCTCCAGAGCAGACAGTGTGGTCTGGATCCTCTCGGCCTGCTGCTTCGCCCACGTCTGGACCTGAGCCATCAAATCACACATAGAACACATGCACATAATTTCGGCTCTGTATGCCACCAGAATACAATTAAAATGAAACAGTCAGGATTAAATTGAAGTGCAGACTTCAAGCTTTAAGTCAAGGGGTTGAACAAAAATACAACATAAAGTGCTTAGGAATTACATCAGTTTTTATACACAGTCCCCCCATTTTCAGGGGCTCAAATGTAATTGGACAAATAAATATAATCATAAATAAAATTTTCATTTTTGATATTGTGTTTAGAATCCTTTGCAGGCAATGACTGCCTTAAGTCTGTAACTCATGGACATCAGCAGAGACTGGGTTTCTTCTTTGTGATGCTTTGCCAGGTCTTTACTGCAGCTGACCTCAGTTGTTGTGTGTTTGTGGCTCTTTCTGTCTTTAGTGTTGTCTTCAGCGAGTGAAATGCTGCTCAATCAGGTTGAGATCAGGAGATTGACTCGGCCATCGCAGAATAATCCACTTTTTTACCTTCAAAAACTCCTGCGTTACACACACACACACTAGTCAACATTTGAACTGGATCAAAACCATCAAAGCTGTCCTAAAACATTATCAAGTCAAAGGTCTTTTAGTATAATTGTACAAACGTCCGCCTTCAGCTCGTGCTTCATGTGTCTTTTTGCTGTCAAATCTTTACTAATTTTTATAAAGTAAATGTAAGAATAACTTTGATATTGTTAGTAATATTTGAAAATGAACACTTACTGGACTAAAGCAGCTCAGCTTTACTTGATTATCCAGACATCTTTTTTTTTATCGTGTTGCATTGCATTATATGTTTTGATAATCAAACTAAGCATTTAAATATCATCTTACTAAGACATATTATTGAAGATATAGAGTGATGACTGATATTTATGTGATGTACTGTTATAAACATCGATATTTATTTTTGTTTCAGTTTTACAGAACCATATTTCATCACTTCCATTATCACGCCTTTCTAGAAAAATGAATGAGACTTCCAGAACCCAATGGTTTTGCCCACAATCACAAATGTCAACAGATTTCAACTGATTAAGATCTAGTGATCATCATCTAACTGGACTCACCTCTTCATAGCGAGTCTTTGTGATGCTGATCCATGATTTGATGGTGATGACAGAGTCCGGATGGCAGGAGGACAGAATCTCCTCGCCCAGTGTGTGAATGTTTTCTAGCGCCGTCTGCTGAGTGTTCAAGAAACTCATCGACTCCTGCAGATCACAAAGACAATGACGTGAAACTCATATGATACCAATCTCTGGAGTAATAAACGAGTCCATGTCCGCCGTACCTGATGACAGGTAAGAAATGCCAGAAGAGCCTCGTCTTCCTCAGGCAGCACTCCGTACTTCAGGACCCTCTCAACATCCCAAAGATGATCCAGGAACGAGTGAACCATTCCATCGAACTCTTCCGCCTGAGAACAAATATGATGGGATTATCAAATATGTCTGAATGTACCTCACAAACATTCATCACCACTAAGGAAAAAAAATACATAGTGTTATTTTTGTATTATTATACTTTGTATTTGAATTCATTTTTATTTTGTTTTCATTTTAATTTGAGTTAAATCTAGTCATTTTTGTGTGTGTTTTAGTCGTTTTTATTAGTTTTGCTTTTTTGAATGTGTTTTATTCATTTTTATTTGAGTTTTAGTTTTGGTAATTTTAGTACTTCAACTTAAACTAAAAGAAAAGTAGAAATGATGTCTTCGCAACTAGCTGTAGGGTGCAGTACGTTGGGATTATCAAATATGTCTGAATGTACAATGTGAATGCGTATGGTAAAAAATGTACAGTGACATTTCAGAATTGACAAACTTCATATTTTTTTGAATGCATTTTTATTTTTATATTTTGTTTTCATTTTTTTTTCCTGTAGTGTGCAATATGTTGGGATTATCAAATATGTCTGAATGTACCTCACAAACGTTCATCACCATCAAAATGTACAGTACAGTGTTATTTTAGTATTACTATACTTTGTAATCATCAATATTTATTAATGTTTTTATGTTTTAAGCTTTAGTACTTTTTTGTGTATTTTAGCCATTTCTATTAGTTTTTGCATTTCAAAATATCTTTTAATTTTGATTTCAGTTTTAGTTTTAGTAATTAGTCATTTATAAGCTAAAAAAGAGACATTTTGCCTTTGCAACTAACTGAATATTCAGTTTTATTTATGTTAACAGTAACAACACTACAGTACCTTGGATGTTATGTAAGTGCTTGGGATTAAAGTCTCAGCTAAATGCATAATGTAACTATAAGTGTTTGTGAAAGAAGGTGCTGTGATTATCAGTGGCGTGTGCTGGTACCTGTTGCAGCGCGGCCTCTAGTCGAGTCTGTCTGGACACAGAGAGTTTACACACGGCCTCCCAGCGGCCCTCCAGCTCCTCCATCTGCTCCTGCAGCCAGTGTGCATCGGCCGTGCTGCTCCGCGTCAGATCCCTGACCGAGCGCTTCAGCGTGCGGATACAGCTGGCACGCTTCCCGAGCTCCCGCTGGAACACCTGCGCATCAGAGGAGGAGCAGAGCTCACCTACAGCAGACTATAGACTACCGATAACACACTGAGTTCATATGAGACCCGTGCTGGCCGGCACGTGCACAGGTAGGGCTCAACCTGTGCAGAGCACATGCCCTTTTTGCCTTTACACTCCAAAGTGTCCTTTTTTTGTTTTGTTTTGTTTTTGCTTCTTCAATAAATCAATGCTATTGGTCACCCTTTACGTCTGTCTGTCTGTTTTAGAAATATTTAGCCAATGAAAGGTATTAAAAAGAGCTTGTGACTAAATCTTG